AGTAGTTTAAAAATCATCATTTGAGTTGTACATGTCTAAAAGTGAGTTGATCTCATTAGATCATAATAACGAGGATAGACAATGCTAATTACCCAGGCATAAATAAGAGAGGCAGCTAGAAAGGATAGTAAATCATGGTGGAAAACTAAGAAAAGCGGCCAAGAATGACAAAATGACGTAAGAAACGGTTAGAAATGTAATGTGGCTAGCTGCAAAAACAAGAGATTTTGGTTGCTAGATAGATAGATGGTTATATATATATATATATTTATTTATTTATTTATTTTAATTTATTTTATTTATTTATATATTTATTTATATATTTATATTTATTTTTATTTTTATTTTTATATATTTTTATATATAATTATATAAATATATGTGGAGGGAGAGAGAGAGAATGAGCGAGATGAAGTGAGAGGAAACGTAAAGGTCTGATAGCCTAATGATAATTCTTATAAAACGCTTTCTATTATTTACGATTTAATTACTTTTTATTCAAGAGCTACTATTTGACTGCCACCTGCAGAGAGAAGGAGACTTCCAACCCATTCGCAAAGGTTAGGCCACTGCATGTCGGTACAGATCTCTTGTTGTTTACTCTCCAACCAAATTATTGACTTTAATTGGCTTCCCAAATGGCATCGTCTCTATTCTCTGCCGAGGAGCAAAGTGAAAATAGATTTCGTCCTTTAGCCCCACGTTTATCGGGCTGCAGCTGCACAATTTTCGCTCAATGCATTCACTCGTGTCGGATAAGCGCACAGAACACGAACAAAAGCCGACTTTGCTGTAATAAAAAGTTGATTCTTGCGCTGCAGGCAATGCTTAAAAGCTTAAGCATACTCAGTAACTCACTATAAAATGTCGCTACAACAGAGAAGATATAAATTGCCCTGCATTTTGAGCTAATTGGTTTACACTCGTACTAAGCCTAGAGTATGCATTTCTGAAAAAAAACCAAAGGCTGTCAATGGCCATTGGGCCTTAGGAAGCCCCAAGTGGAACTCGAATTTTGTCAAAAAGTAGAAATATTCCGTATTTTCTGTTTATACGTGGGCTCTCGAAATTTCCACTAGACTTCATATACTACTTGTATTCAACCTATTTCATTTAACCTGATAAAAATCTGGTATGGGTTGGGGAATCGAGACTATGCGTTGAACTACCCGAGTTCGGATCCCGTTGGAGGAGCCGATGGAATCTGGTCGAGGTCAGACTGCCGTCCAATCTGAATGAAAACACCGTTGGGAAAGAAAGGATATGTGAAATGTATCGATTCTCATAACATTGTGGAAAAGTTAACAACCAGTCTTTCATCACCTGAAACGAAATAGGATGAATACAACTCTTTTATTATACATATTTTTGGCTTTTGTGTATCCTAATTTGTTGGGTGAAATTGGTCTTCTGGTTAAAAACCTCCTAGTTCTAAGTCCTAATACGGCCTCGAACATTTTGGGCCAGCATTTGAAGCTTAAGTTAACCTTAAACTCCGCATGTTGCCAGGACGGTACCAAATTTCACGGCAAAATGGTAGTTGGACCCTGGCGATATAAGCTTGTTACGGGATGCCTTAAAGGGAAGCAGAAGATGAAATTTGAATTGTATCCTTTGTGAAAATGAAGATAGTCTGGAAGGGCGCCTCGAGAGATGAAGTAAATTATCCTTTTTTGCAATCTCAAAAATCTTGAAATGTGTCTATGTATGTGTGCGTGCATGCATGTATTTATAGGCCATTTTTGTTCGAAATGCTTACTGTTAGCAAAGGTTATGCATTCTATTCCCCAAAGAAGTGGCATAGTGACAAAAATTGCCAGTTTCAATCTGGTTCATATCTGATATCTCAATCTGAATCAAACCGAATAGTGTTGGAGAGACTTTTATTTCAGATCAAAGTGCATGAAGAAGCGGTTCGAATGTCGATTCCACCAGAAGACGACAACTGATTCCTGTTCTACTGCAGACGTTTGAATTAAATACCACGTTCAGGTTGACGCAGTCCACGAGACATCCTCGCTAGTTTCGAATGAAAACAGGCTGAGATTTCATTCGGCATATGATCCACATCATCAGAGCTGGATTCATTCTAGTAGTAGTTATACGTTAGCAAACACTAATTCAAGAATTTGTCGTTTCTAAGTTGAGTTTCGATACTACTAGTAATTCATTTAAGTAAGATGTATTCAACCTATTTCGTTTATAGTGATGAAGGACTGGTAGATCAATTTTCCAACAACCATGTGAATATAAATGACCTTTCCACAAAGTCTTTGTTTAACTCATAAAACTCGTCACTTCATATATTCTCTCATATTACCGCTTCGCATCTTATTTTATCCTATTGCTCCTCAACTAATAACTCATACCATCTCATTTACCTGCATCTGTCATATCACTTTAGATAATCTCATTTTCTTTATACTATTCAGAATCACAACATCTTTGAATGCACCAAATCTTTGGTCCACTGCTGCATATCATCATGGATATTCTGAAAGAGAAAGCAGCTATGAGAACTTTCTATTAGGTTTCCCAGTATTTGCAAAAGAGAGGTCAATCCAACACCATACAACTAAAGAATATTGCGACATTACAAAAGGCTATCTTGTTAATCATATATATTCTTACTTATATTCGTTGTATTTTAGATCAAATTTTCTGATCTGTTATACGCTGATCCAGCCTGCATCAATTTCATCTAAATCTACCATAAATAACATCAACTCAACACCTTGCAAAAGGTGTTCTCATTCAGGCAGCCGTGGATGGCAGTTTCGGCGTTGCCTAGGTCTTATCATCACCCCCGGGGGGACTCGAACCATGATAGTGCAGTGCGTAATCTCGACACGTTAACCACTACGCCAAATTGCCATTAATGCCATTAGGCCAAAGGGCAGATGTGAATTTAAAAGAATACCAGACCTTTTATCATATCAAATTTTGTGTTTGGATTGTCGATAAAGCAAATTTATATTTTCTATGACAAACGACTACATTACTTATTTTTCGTTTA